GGAAAAAAAAATTAGAAGAAACTGATTGCAAATATACACATGTATATATAACAGCATAAGTAGCCAAATAGGCACATTCTTACATAAGCATTACAGTCTCTTACACAGGCAGCTTTACAATTTATAAAACATTTGTACCTATCACTGCCACTGTTGTTTCCCACAACAGTCCTATTATGCGATTACTATCACTGCTGTGTGTGAAGGGTTTCAAGGCTCAGAGAGTTAAGTCAGCTTTTGATTCCTTTCCTTATTCTTTCCCACTGCATTAACTTACTTCTATATAATTAAAAAAACATTGCCCCCACAATCAGAGCATTACGCAATAAAAGGAGGAAATGTACTATAGACCCTTGATATGCATCCTTCATAAATTACATAGCTCACAAGTTATTAGTTACCGGTTATTTTGACTCTAGTCATAGAAATATAATTTGTATGAATAATTTTCATTAAGCTGGTACATTACCAAGGAATCCCCTAAATTCTATTTGTACTGGCCGGAAAACTAAACCCCAAATCAGTCAAAAGTGCATACTACCTCCTTGGGAAAACAAAGTACATATATGTTAGTCTTTCATGACTTAACAGTTGCTTCTAATAGATTACCATCTGCCCATAAAACCAACTACCTACAGCTATCTGTCCCACAGTAGATAGAGAGGGTGGTTACTTAAGTACACATTTTATAAAAATCTACCTAAGTTTAGCAAATATGTGTACACCTAAACACACAGAGATATGATTACCAATAACTTGAAAAATCATTTGTAAAATAGTTATCTTGGCTTTACACTTATTTCATACTTCTTAATGTCCTTAACAAGCAAAATTGTTCTACTTCATGAATTCTACTTCTTTCTACATCTACCTTCTCCCTTCTTACTTGAAAATTTCCCACTCCACTTAGTGACTTGCTCTATCTTTACTTATTAACCGCACCAATTTCTCATTAGTATGACTTCAGACATCATTCCTTCAACAGTTTTACCGAGACATTTCTAATTGTGTATTTGATAATTTTCAATGAAGAAAGGCTCCTACTCTCCTCCAAGTCCACAGCACTAAGACTGCCTCTGAGTAGTTTCTTTGACTGTAGACAAGTTAAAATCACTCCCTCCAATGGGACTCCCTCAAAGGAAGATTTTTAAGGGGGGCAAAAAAAAAAAAAAGGCAAGATGTTTAAAGCGCTTTATAAAATATCAAGGATTATGCTATTGCCATCATTATTTTCAGGATAATGGGGGGTTTTTTGGCTATTCATTTTTAAAGCTATAGAGAAAGCACTCAACCATTCTTGAGTGGTGGTGAGTGAAGGAAAGAATGTTAGGGTTCGAAGCCATATGGCCAAGAAAGAATTCTTGAGACATCTTTGGTGCAAAAAGGTGATTTTATTAAATCACAGGGACAGGACCCATGGTTTATTAAAGCACAGGGTCAGGACCCATGGGCAGAAAGAGCTGCACTGGGGTCACGAGGAGCAGCCCATTACATACTTTCAAGTTGGGAAGGGTTAGAGATAGCATAAGTCTCTAAGGAATTTTGGAAGCAAGGTTTCCAGGACCTTGAGGGGGCGAGCTATTGTTAGGAAAAGATCATTTATTACTGTCTAATAACCGGAGTCATGAGACCTTCAGATGTATATCGGTGGTCCATATGCTTGGGGGATGATTGCCAACAAGTATCTTGGGGGTTTAGAGATAAAGGAAATTTCTAAAAGAATTTTTACATGTTAAAGTAGACTTACAGGATCCTGAGGGTCAGGCTAAGACTGCCTTTTGCCCTTAGCAAAGTATTAACATTGAGGCAGTTGAGTCCCTAGAGGAATGTCACTCCGCCTGTTTCAAGGACTTGTCAACGAGCTGTAGGTAGTAAGGAAATTTAATTTCTCTTCTGTCTCTGTTTCCCAGGTCAGGAACAGTAAAGGAGAGGAAGAAACTTACATGAGTAATGAATTCATTGGGGGATTAAGTTCAGTGACTCAACATTCACATCTATCGTCCTTAATAACACACCTGGATTTTAAAACACTAAAATGGTCAATCAGAATACCATTACACTTAAAAAAAAAAAAAAAAGGCTACTTCCCTGCAGCCACCCCAGAAAAAAAACCTCCCTCTGTAAAGCAGTAAATCACCATTACAAAAAAGTTTTAACTTCCAATCCCATTCCTTACATTTGTCTCTTAACCTTGAGAGCCTGCCAAGAGGCTCTGCTTACAATTGTGCGTCAAATAGGTCTTCCAATTGAGCATAAACAGATTTTTAAAATGCAACCACGAACTGAACGGACCACTTTATGTATTCAGAGAGGAGCCACCCATCACCACAAAGGAAATACCAGTGTAAAAATCAGGAATTCGGAGGTTGCAGTATTTAGTATAGCTCATGATCAACCTTGTGCAACCACTACCAACAGAGTGTGTTGTCATGCATCAAAAAAACCAATACAATTTTATTCTCTAATGAGTATCAATAAAAGAAGTGATGGAAACCACAAAAAAAAAAAAACGCATCTTGCTAAAGAGTCTCGAAATTGTAAAAATATGCCTTGAACTACAGCATGGAACGAGGTGACAGTCTTCCAGGTACTCTTTAACAACTGCTTAATATCAGACAGATGGAAAAAGCACAATTTTGGAAAAGGTCTAACAATTTCAAGAAAGTTACTTTCATCTGTGAATATTTAAAAACTTTACCCTAAAGTTAAAACACACTGGCAAACTAAAATCGAATCCCAAAATAGGTGCGCCCAACTTAAAGCCAGAATCTCATTTTAACTCACGGTTTATTTTCCCTGTAATAAATACCTCTTTGCTGTATGTAAGACAGCTCTTTCTTCCCCAAATAATTTCCAAGAGATTTAATCATCCTACAAAGCCATTAAAATACAAGAGTAGGTAAGAGCTTTACAAAGATCCTACATTCCTAAAGAGCATAAGGATTTCTCTTAAGAGACACAAAGCACCTTCCTTAGACTAAACTACTAGAGTGGCACCTGACTCACCCCAACTCAATTCAAGTTTACTTATCCAGAAAGCAGAGGGAGACAGAGAGTTCCTTATACACTGTCAAAAATAGCCGAGTCCCTACTCTCTCACAGCCTGTTGGCTCTGACTTTAAACACAAATCTTAAGAAGTTTTATTTGGATTTTAATGTCGTATTGAGTGACTACAGAGCAAATGAAAAGGTTTCAGGCAGTCATTTGATAGGTATGGTTATCAAGGGAAGAGATACCTCCAAGAGTGGGGGGGGGGAACACACAAAAACCTGTGAGTAGCAGAATGTTCAATAAATGGCGAGCCCTATGTATCAACTCTTAAGAATCACATCTCAGTGTACCACAAAATAAAAACGATGTTCATAACCATGACTAAGTCATAAAGTTATGCTTCTAGTAAGGCAAGTACATAAATCACTTTGAAAATACATCTAAAACAGTTACCTTAAAATATATATAAATAAATAAATGCAAGAGCGAACACACAACATACACACCCGTAGGGTCCAAAAGATCTAAATCAATCCATCAGCATTCCAAAACTAATTACTTGAGAATTCCAACCAGAAGAAATCTAAGGCAAAACCTCTGGGGGGGGGAAGGGGGGGGTATTTTTCTATGTAAACAGTTCTGTCAAGTGCTTTTGTTGGCAAGCAATAATAAAATAAGCTTTATTTCCTGTTCTTTCTCCCGTATCTGAACTCTAGTTTGTCATCACCTCTGACATATGTTCAGCACATCCAAAGGTTACTATAAATGATGCAATATATTTCACGTAAACTTTTCTACTGAAGTTAGTCTTCACGGATAACACCTTATCAAAATGTTTTACATTTCATCTTACAAAACCTTTATCAGACTGTGGAAAGAGAGGAATCTGAAGAACACAAGTTCACATTTAGTGTAGTTTATAAACTCTTAATGTATGCCATGGCCGTACTTACCTAACCGCAAGCTTTTACTATTTATAAGCCTTTGAAAAACTTTATGCCTTTAAGTACTATCAAAATTCTCAATCAGGATTTCATGCGTTCAATTCACGCCAGAGCGAAAGATCAAATGCTGAACTCCTAAAAATAGGGGTGTTATGAGAGGGACACACAACACTCCGCTGCCAAAGCAAACGCGTCTTGGAGGGAGCAGGGGCGCTCCTTGTCCACGTACAGTAGCAGCTCACATTCAGCAAAACCGGGGAGCGAAGGATCAGGTGACTTCACACCGCAGACACTCCAGTCTGACCGGGCCTTACTATGCCGTCTGAGTGACTAGGAAACTGCTCACAACCCTAGTTTAACAACTAAATCCGGACTTGCATCCCAGCCACGCGCAACCCGCGCCAATGGGCTCGGGGGCCGAGGAGCCCTAGAACGCGAGCCCCGGGGCACAGCCCTGGCCTGCGGACTGCGGTTCCCTCCTGGAAGGGTGTCTGGAGAGCTTTGCGACCTGGCAGCGAGGTGTCTGCTCCCCCCGCGCGCTCCGCGTCCTCCTCCTCCGTGGGGGCCCATAAAGCTCTGGCCACCCCTACCTCCCTTTCTGACAGAGGAACAGAGCGCAGAGTGCCCGCCAAGAGACAGATCGCCCTGCCGCGTCCGGAGCTCTCCTGCACCTAGCCGCGGCGTCACCGACCTCCCCGCGCCCCAGGTCTGCGACCCCAGCTCGAGGCCGCCCCCTCAGGTCGGGGCGGACGCGGCGGCAGCCACACGGAGGCAGCCACGCGGCGGGCGGGCAGGGGGCCGGGCCGGGCGCAGACGCGCTCGCCGCCCGTTCACCCGACAGCAGCGGGAGCCGCGGCCCCAGGGCCGCCCTTTCAGGCCGCGCGCCGCGGAAGCTCGGCACGCTGCGGGGGCTAGGCCCGGCGGCCGTCAGACGCGGCGGCAGGAGGAGAGCTGAACCAGCCGCGGCCGACGACCCCGCCGCCTGCGGCCGGTGTCCGCGGGTCCGAGCGGCCCGCGCCCTCTCCGCACCCGGGCCCTGCGGCCTCCGCTCCCCCGGCGCGTACCTAGGAAGGTCGTGGACGAGACGTGGTTAACCCCGGTGCTTGGGTCGCTAGTCCGCCGCCGGCGCCGCAGCCCCTCGTGCGGCTGCAGCCTCCGCGCTGCCTCGTCCCCCTCCGCCATCTTGTACCGATTTAAAATTAACTCCCCACTGACGTCAAACGCCGCCGCCGCTTTATCAACCTCCCGGGAGCCGGCGGGGCGCCCGTGGGTCCTAGCGCCGCCGGTAGCCAGCGCCTCCTTGTCCTCCCCACGCTCTCTCCCCCGCCCCGCCCATCGGCGCCCTCGCTCCGCCTCCGCTCTGCCAACCTCCCTGCCTGCCTGCCCGCCAGTCGCTACGTTTTCCTGGCCTTCCACTTCTAGAAGGGATTGGGCGGCGCCCCCGCCGCGATCGCCTCGCACCGCACCGCTCTGAGCTCAGTACCACACCCCCTTAGCGCTGAGCCGGTCCGTGTAAACGCAGAAGGGATCTCCAGAGAACCAAGTCCCTCCTTCCCAGTTCAGTAACCCAATTCTTTTTACTGCTCTTCTTCATAATCGTTAACTCGTGCCCTGCACTTGAGGTTGCTTTCACACGCCTTTCTCTTTTTTATCCCCCACTTCTCCCCCACAGCTATTTTCCTCCTGCCTGTCTGCCCCCCTCGCAAGCTTTACCTTTTGATCTTTCCTCGTCCAAGTCCCTAATGTTGCTTCCCCTCCGGAGACCATCTTATGGTTTATTTGCAATAGTTCCCATCTGCTTATGAGACCCTCCACCTATCTTCCTGTCTGTGCATACCGTTTCCTGCTCCTAGTACCTGCAGGGACAAGCCAGAAAGCACTGTCATCAGAAAATGAATTGTAGCAGGTCCTTTACCAACTATGATGAACCTTCTTGTGAGAATCCAGTGATAGCCTGTAGAAAGTTCAGGTCACTTTTTAAAATAAATACCAGCCTGTGGAAACTTCTGTGAAACACGATCTCTTTTCTTTTGGATTTTTTACCATATCACCAAAGCATTAAAAACTCCTTTTCTTGGTAGAGATAGGTGTCCAGGTGTCCAGATTGCTGTCTTGTCCAGGTCTTCTCACAAGTCTAAAAATCACGGCTTTTCATCCTGCATAATCTCTAGAAAAGCACTGGTGTCCTGGAAATTTGCACAGTGCCATTTTATCTGGGTTTTCATTGGGCTGTCGATTTATTCATCTGTTTTCTGTCTTTATGGAAAGGGATTTGGAGCTCCTCCTGGACTTCCTACTCCCTGCATCCTGGTTCAGTGCCTCTAAGCTCCCAGCCATGAGCCTGGCTTGATAATGGATTTTCTTTCATAATCTCCCTATGCGGCATCTATTTAATGTTGTCCACAATCTGCTTTATGCAAGGTATCATCTTGGGCATGAAAGAAGATGCAAAAATGAGTATTTTTGCAGTCAAAGAATAACCTTAGAGTTAGCAGTTAACTTAGTACTCAGTGCACCCCATCACGGACCCCCAGGGACCTAAGGCTACACCCCTCCTAGTCTATTGACCTAACTGCTTTCCTTTTCACTATTAGACACTAGGCTGCTGCTACAGTGCCCTGAGCAGGTCCACACAACTCCTGACTTTAAGGAGTGTAGAGAAGCCAAATGGAAGTATAGTCAAGAGATTGAGCATTGTCCCACAGTCGCCCCAAATCTGTGCATGTTGGAAAGTCCTTTCTTCATTTCCCCCAGTCGGCTACCCCTCTTCAGTTTCTAATCCCAGTGAAACCTCAGTGTCACTTCAGACTTCTCTCTCCTCTCTCCTCCCCTCTGCACCAAACAAGTCTGTGTGAAGTTGGTTCTGACTTCTAAATCTCTGTCCAGGTCACCTCCTCTCCATCCCCTCAGTCTCCCTCTTGATTCAGCACCATCATGTCCCACTACCCTGAGGTAACATTGCTGTGGGCCCTTCTCCCGTGGGTCCTCCACCCAGCCACTGGCTTAAGTTTTCTTCAATGCAGATCGGTTGATGTGATTTCTCTGCTCAGGATAAAGTCCATACTCTTCAGAATAGTTGACAAGGCCTTTCATGATTTGGGTCCTACCTATGTATTGAGCTTCATTTTTCACTACTCTGTCACTCATTCCTCATTTTTTTTTTCATTTAACAAATGAATTTTGACACTGTCCTGTGTGCTGAACAACAAATAATGAACATGACCGACAAAACTGGTTTACTTAGCTGTTTGTTTTTTCTTTCTACAGCCCACACAGACCCCTCCAGCACAAGAAAGTGAGCTTCACAGGCTCAAAGATCTATCTTACTTGGGGGTAACTGGCTGGCTCAGTGGTAGAGCATGTGTCTCTTGACCTTGGGGTCTTGAGTTCAAGCCCCATGTGGAGTGTGGAGATTACTTTGAGAAAATTCTGGTTCTACTGCTGATTCACCTAATGTTTCTAAACGTCCAGGTCTCATTTTTAATAACTAACTACATATAACAAAATTCTTATGGGATCAAATCAGTATATTTCAGAGCCTTTTCTTGATTGCTAAATAGCTAACATTTATGAAATGTACTTTACATATGTTAAGTCATTTAATCCTTAAAACAATCCTAAGAGGTAAATGCTGTTAATATTCTCATCTTACAGTTAGAACAACTAAAGCGCCAAGAGGTTTAAAACGTGCCTAAGTGGCAGGACTGGCATTCAAAGGCAGGCAGTCTGGTTCCAGAGTTTATATTTGGATCCACTGTGACGGTGTTCAGTTTATACACTGTGAATTCCTGGAGGGCAGAAGCCATAGCTTATCCTTACAGCAGATACTTTGGGATTCTGCCTTCAGTTAGTGTAAATTGTATTAAAAACTATTTCTTCCAAATAAACAACTTTAAACATGTTTAAATCCTATTAATAAATGGGCAAAAGATGTCCACAGACAATTCGTAAAAAAAATATGTTATAAAAATGGACCTTAAACATGTGAGAAAATACTCAGTTTCACTCATAATAAAATAAATGCAAATTAAAATAACATTGAGGCACCATTTTTCATGCATCAGTTTGGCAAAAATTCAAAAGCTTATGATGACACTGGCTTATGATGGCAAGGACATGGGGGAAAACAGGCACTCACACGTTGCTTTCTCACTGAGAATGCAAAATGGTACAACCCCTACGGAAAGGAATTTGGCATCGTCCAACAAACTTCATCTGCGTTTACACTTTGACCTGCCTATCACACTTCTGGCATTAACTCTGAAGGTACAACTCCAGTAATACAAAAAAATACATTTGCACAAGGTAAATCACTGCAGCATTATTTGCGGTTGCAAAATATTAGAAACAAGATATCCAAGCATAGGTGATCAGTTAAATAAACTATGATAAATACTCATGATGGGGCAATTTGTATCTGTAAAGAGAGAAGAGAAAGATCTCTATGAACTGGTATGGAGTAATTCCCAAGAGATATTCTTAAGTGGAAAAATCAAACTGCAGAATAGTATATGTAGTATGCTACCTTTTGTGTAAGAGGGAGAAATAAGAAAACATGTGTATATCCACTTACTTGTCCAAAAAGAAACTCAGAAAGGTTAAACAGAGAACAACAGTTAGTTCCCTCTAAGAGGGGGTGGTGGAGGGAATAAGAAGGAATACAGAATGGAGTGACACTTTTCTGAGTATCCTGTTTTACATAATGTTGACTTTTGAAAACATGGTCTACATGATCAAAACATAAAATTAAATCAACAAGGACAGGAAGGGGTTCCTAAAACTGAAAGCAAACCAAATAAATGATTATAACAGTATCAAAATGAATAACAGAGCCCCACTGAAGAGGGAGAAAAAGAGCCAACTAATCCAAGTAATTTACAAACATAGAATTGGACTATAAATATTTCTCAGTCTTGGTTGGGATAGGGTGAAAACAGCAAGCAAATCCTGAACATTTTCCAGTAGGCTTGTTTTCGTAGAGGTATGGGCAAAGCAATTTTGAATCTATTTTAGATGTATTATAGATCAGTAAATGTATATATATTTATATGATATATATATACTACTGATATATATTATATATGATCAATCTATATAAATATATTTACATAATATATGCATATATTAGATATTATATATATACAAATATATAAATATATTTTAGATGAGTTATAGATGAGTAAATGTGTTGATATTGTTGAGAGGTAGGGTTCTTAATGGGGAAGAATGGACATATAAATAATGATAGGGGAAAAACAAGGTGGATCCTATGGGATGCAATAATTGAAGTTATTGATATGGACTGAAGATTTCTAAAACATGCATACATATATGTGTGTTTGCAAGTGTAAATATGCATGCATATACATATGTACAATATATACATGTATATGCATGCATATGTTTCCTTTTCCTATCCACGAAAAAGGCCTATAAGCAAAGACACCCAGGTAGCAACGATCATACCTAGTGCCCAATCTTGGCCTCTAATACCATTCCCTACTAAAAGGAAGCAGAAGTCCATGGAGAAACCACTGGTTTCAAAGCTGGAGCAGGGGGAGAGTACAAGATGAGCCATGAGCATCATTTTTGTGTCAGAAGAAGGGAAGTACTCAAAAAAAAAAAAAAATGGGACATGTCAAAAAGACACATAAGGGGTTCCCACTGGCCAAATTTGAAACAATTTGAGCACTAAAACAATTAAGGACAACAATGAATTATAGAAAATAAGAATCTATGAGTCTATAACCGATGATAGATTAGATAGGTAAATAGGTAGATGATGATAGATAGATGAACGGAGGACTCTTGTTAACAGTAGAATGCTGCGGGTCGACTGGTAAATGTGGAGACAGTGCTAGAGTTGAAGAGTCATCAATTTGCAATGCAACCATGATAGCAGAGAGTGGGTCAGACAAGAATCATCAATGAATGCTAAATCTAGGGGCAAAGATTTGATGACGAGTCAAATATTTGCATGTCTTAGAGTTTCTCTTCACATTTGCTTATTAATTGCAAGAGAAAAATAGAAACCAAAATTAGACAACACTTCGAGTAGGTGATTAAAATTAGCATCTCCAGGGGTGCTTGACTGGCTCAGTTGGTAGAGCATGTGGCTCTTGATCCTGGAGTCGTTCAAGCCCCATATCGGGTATAGAGCTTACTTTAAAAAAAAAAAAAATTAATATCACCTATGAGGAAGCAGATGGACATCATGTGCCTTTAGAGCTGATGCCCA